GCACCGGTTCGAGATTAGTTGAACAAGTAAGAGTTTCTTTGAAAACAAAGAGTAAACTATTTTTGTGATTTACCTTGTTCTTACCCTTGGTATTGTTTAGTTCGGTTGATTTGATGGCTCGTTGTTTCATACTTAGCTGGTCTAAATAGACTACATGCGGAGTCATCGGGATGAGAGTTGTCTTTCGGCCATTGTGCTCGAAAGTCTGCCGGTTGGTGAAGCCATCATGAAGAACTCTTCGATCCGATGGCCATGGTCGTCCGAGAAGAATGTGACTAGCGTCCATCGGTAGAATGTCGCACATGATATCATCTTGATACTTCCCAATTGAAAGAGTTACCTTGACTTGTTCCTTGACGGACATCTCACCGGTGTCGTTGAGCCATTGGAGTGAATACGGTCTCGGGTGTTCAAGCACTTCTAAACCAAGCTTCTCGACCATACTCTTGCTTGCAACGGTAGTACAACTTCCACCATAAATAATCAAACTACATACCTTATCTTTGACGAGGCAACGTGTATGAAACAAATTTTCCCTTTGCGCTTGTTCCTCGGCTTTAGTTAGAACACTCAACGATATTCTCGCAACAAGCAACTCTCCTTTAGTAGGGGCTTCCATATCTTCTTCCATTGAGCCTTCTTCCGAACGATCATCTTCGGATTCTACTTCGCTATTGTCTCTAAGAACCATGATCCTTTTGTTGGTACATTCGCTCGCATAATGCCCAAGTCCTTGATACTTAAAGCATCATATATCTCTAGCCCTCGTGATTACTTCCTTACCCTTTGCTTTTGGATCTAGATCGACTTTTGGCTTGACGAACGGCTTGTAATCCTTTTGATAACTGGACTTCTCTTCCTTTTGAAAACTTGGCTTTCCCGGGCTGTAGCTGGTCTTGGTGTGACTTGACCGGGCGTTCCTTCTCTTGATTTGCTGCTCGAACATGACCGCTTTGTGAAGCATCTCCTCAAGTTCCTCATAATGTTGAGTTTCTAGACGATCTTGGATTTCTCGGTTAAGACCTCCCATGAATCGAGAGATGACCGCTTCTCCATCTTCTTGAAGATCGGCTTTTAACATAAGGGTTTCCATTTCCTTAAAGTACTCCTCGACGGTCTTGCTTTCTTGAACCAAATTCCTCAACCGCTGGTGTAGTTCTCGATGATAGTAACTTGGCACAAATCTTTTTCGCATGATGGCTTTAAGTTGGTTCCATTTGTCGATCGGATAGTCTCCGGCACGTCTTCGGCTAGTGACAAGTTGATCCCACCAACTTAGGGCATAGTCATAGAATTCAGTAGCCGCAATTTTAACCTTATTGCACTCAAGACTTTCTTGACAAAGAAAGACCAACTCAATTTTCTGCTCCCATTCTAAATAAGTATCCGGGTTGTTGTTTCCATGGAATGCGGGAATTTTGAGCTTTAGGCCTCCCAAAGGATCTCTAGGTTGGCTGCTGTGGGAAAAGGCGTGACTATAGTAACTCCTTGCCTCATCATTTTGCCTTGGTTCTTCATGTCGTGGTTCTTCTTGCCTTTGACGTTGATTTGCTTCCGGGTTGACTTGATGCAAGTGTAGAGCACCAATCTTTTCCTCAATCATCGTTGCCATGGCGGTGGTGACTGATTCCAAAATCCTCTTCTCAAGACTAGATGTAGATGACTCTTCTTCTTCTTCAGTTGTCACCATTGTACCTGAAAAATCAAAAATTTAACAAGTAAACAGTCCAAAAACAGACAAATTTAAACGGATCTGGAAAAATAGCAATCTGACTCTAAAAATTCCAAAATTAATTTTAGAAAATAATAGACTCTTAACTGGTTCTAAAGCAATTGGTTTCACAATTTTTGAACAAGCCAATTATTTTATATAATTCACGCAATATTGAGCTAAAATCAGAAAAACGGAAATTTCGGGATGGAACTTCAAAACCTGGTTACAAAGTGGCTCTGTTACCACATGATAGACTCCACGCCGTGGATCTATGCTCCAAGGACCACTTTGATGATTTTGAAATGGAAGTGGTGAGATTGATGGTGAATGATGGATAGATCTTGAACAAAACAGCGGAATGACGATGAATGAGGGTGATTACAAGATGGAGTGGATGCAGCAGAATGAAGAGGAGAATGAGGTGTAATTCCAAGAGGGATGAGAAACTCTTAGACTACAAGCTTGGATCCAACTTAGATATTACACACTAAGAAGAAAAACAAGTTGAAAAGATATTACACACTTTTCGGATCAAACAAGTAAAGAGAGAGTTTTAGAATAAAATGTTTGATGGTTTGAAAAAGAGAGATACATGGAGTTTATATAGAGAAGGGAGGACGAAGGAGAGGAGAGAAGATAAGAGAAAACATGCAAGAACATGCACAAGTGTCTTGGAAATTACACTCATGCAAGCTCATGCAAGAGTCTTGGAAATAACAACAAGTAATAAATGCTAAGTTGAAGAGAAAAGGGAAAATGGGCCAAGGCTTTGTGAGTGGACCTTGGACCACGAATTGGATTGATAAAAGGGCTTGAAAATGTTACTTAAGCCTCATTAAAAACCTTGTCAAGAAAACCCATTGGGACAAAACTTGACAAGGGAAAAAGAGTGCATAAGCAACACTTAACCCTTTACCAATCCTCTTGAGCCGTTATCACTATGAGTGAGGATTGAACGACGTCTTCTTGAGTCTTGTTTAGCTCTTTTAGAAGTCCATTGATGGCTTGGTTTAACTTCTTATTTCTTGATCTTGTTAGAGGGCCCGCCGGGACAATCAATGCTTCCTCCGGTACAAGCTGTTCTTCGTGGCCGGTGGTTCGTGGCCTTGTGTTCTCGGCTTCACGTAGCTCCTCGTCCTCATGTGGTTCAAGTGGATTAGTCATGATCTCATCATCCTCTCCAACTTGAAAAGGATTTGACCTCAAATCCGAATTATCTGAAAAATAAGGTTGAATCCAGTTCCGGATAGATTCGGATTTGGATTTGAGATCGGAACCGCTAACGCTTTCAACTTCGCTTGAAGGCATCGAAGCCGGCGAATCTTCTCTAGACATCGAAGGTTTAAGATTTTTTTTTGGTAAACTTTTTTTTTTGGTTTTTTCTTTTGGCGACCAAAGTTTTCTATAAGAAAGCCCAATAGGCATATTCCTTTTGTTATGATAAACATGGCTATACATTTAAGGCATGTTCTTGATTCCCTTTTTTGTTGTCTTCAAAAACATCAACGGAGTTTGCTCTTAATTTTTGTGTGGAAGCCATTTGTTCAAGTAGAAAAATGAGCTTAAATCTTGCTCACAAGAAAATATTAAAGAAAAATCTACTTGGATAAATAAACTTAAATTACTTAACTTAGCTAAAAGTCCCATATACATCTAAACGTTTGATCGAGATGCTTCAACCATCTCTGCTAACATTTGATGAAGCAACCCGGCCTTCTCTGAATAGAAGTCAAATTCCCTAGCCTGCAAAGCCTTCCACTGCTCCTCATATCTCTTCATATCCTCTGAGGCAAGCCTACTCAATCCTTGTTGAGCAGCAAGTTCATCCACACCAAAGTGCACTAGTGTTCTAACAAGAGAAAACGACACTCTTTTAGCGTCCTCATGCTTCAAACAAGCAAATGATATGACTATGGTCGAACAAGACCTAAAGCTCGAAGACGAGGAGCAGCTTGTAGCGGAGGAACAGCTCGTAGCTGAGGAGCAGCTCGAAGCGGAGGAAGTATCAAGGCTTAGGAAGCTCAACTAGTCAATCAAGAAAATACTTAGGGAGCTAGACAAGAAACAAGAAGACGTGGTTCAAGACTCCCTCATGAAGATCACCGCGCAAGAGGTTCGGTAAAATGATTAGTGTTGCTTATGCACTCTTTTTCCCTTGTCAAGTTTTTTCCCATTGGGTTTTCTTGACAAGATTTTTAATGAGGCCTAAGTAACGCTTTCAACTTTGCTTGAAGACATCGAAGCCTGCGGATCTTCTCCAGACATCGAAGGGTTAACAAAAAAATTTTTGGTAAAGTTTCTTTTATGGTTTTTTTTTTGGTGACCAAAGTTTTTTATAAGAAAGCCCAATAGGCATATTCCTTTTGTTATGATAAACATGGCTATAAATTTAAGGCCTGTTCTTGATTCCCTTTTTTTGTTTTCTTCAAAAACATCAATGGAGTTTGTCTTAATTTTTGTGTGGAAGCCATTTGTTCAAGTAGAAAAATGAGCTTAAATCTTGCTCACAAGAAAATATTATAGAAAATCTACTTGGATAAATAAACTTAAATTACTTGACTTAGCTAAAAGCTTCCTTCCATTACATAGATAAATCCTCAATATCCCAAAATAAATAGAAACTAAATTGGAGTTCAAGGCAAAAGAGGCAGAACCAACGAAACAAAATTCCATATACATCTAAGCGTTTAATCGAGATATTGCTAACATTTGATGAAGGAACTTGGCCTTCTCCGAATAGAAGTCAAATTCCCTAGCCTGCAAGGCCTTCTGCTCCTCATATCTCTTCTTATCCTCTAAGGCAATCATACTCAATCCTTGTTGAGCAGCAAGTTCATCCACACCAACGTACACTAGTGTTCTAACAAGAGAAGAAGACACTCTTTCAGCGTCCTCATGCTTCAGAGAAGCAACTCTCTTCGACTTCCCAGTTGATTCAAGAGCCTCTCCCTAAACAAGTGATATATCATGGTTTTTACGGGTTTTTAGCTATGATATAAGTCGATAGAGCTTTTATAGTGTTTTCGAGTCTTTTTGAGTCATTTCAGGATAAGGAAATATTTGGCATGGATTGGAGCTTTTTGGAGCATTTGGAGAAGATGTGCCGAAAAAAGATACCGAGAGAGCATATTTGTTGTGAGTGTCGATCGACACAACTCCTGGTGTCGATCAACACCAATATCTGATGGCAATTGAATTTCGCGTAGAATTGAAGTTCGGAAGATTTGCAGATTCGGCCCAGAAGTTTCCCTTATTTGCAATTAAGCCCAGTTCATGGTTTACACATATATATTGTGTTTTTAGGGTTTTGTTAAGACTTAAGCTTTATTTTGGAGAAAGAGATTTATAGAGAGCTGGGAGAGAAGAATCAAAACCTCTTTTAGAGAAGATTCATAACTCCTTTATTTCTTCTATTGATTTCTTTAATGATATCTATTTTATTCATGATGTTTGTTTCATTCACCATGTTAGAGTAGATCTCTTGTTAGGTTTAGGGTTTTCAAAGGAATTCAAGAGTTTTCAGGTTGTTAGATTGTTAGGATTGAATCAATAGAGTTCTTCATCTAAATTGTGGTTAATTTGTTATAGAGTAGTGAAAGCAACCTAGAATTTGATCTTAGGTTAATTGGTAAAAACGAAAGTGTTATTGATTTCCTGAAAATAATCTAGATGAGCAAAATACCTATTCGCAAAGAGATTTGGTTTAGGGATTTTGTGAACTTACAAACATGAATTAATATGCATGTCTTAAACTTATAAATTTGCAAAGAGATTTGGAATTTAGGGTTCTAGGCATAGATAGTCTTTGCAACGAAACATGATTGATTATAATTTTGTGATTTGAGTTCAAGAACAGTGCTTTATAAATCCTGACAATTATTTATTTGCAATTCTGAATTTCCTGAGAATATCCCCGAGCCTAGAATTTTATCATAATGTTTTAAAACTCAATCTTTATTTTAATTTGCTGTTTTTAATATTAAAACCTTGCTTGCTTAGCTTAATTTAATACCAAATATTTATTGTGAAATCTTTGAGTCTCTGTGGATTCGATCCCTAAGTACTACAGTGATCTCTTAATTGAAAGAGTAGCTCAGGGCAAATTTGAGCCTATCACCAAGCTTAGATAAATCAAAAACCTTGCGATCATGAGGTTTTTTGGGGGGGTTTACCAAGGCTGTTCTCAAATTTTTCCTTAAAATTTCTGAGCTTTTCCTTTAACTGACTTTTACTGAAGTCAAAACTAATCTGATTTTTCATAAGAAGATGAACCCTATTTGGTATCATCAAAAGGACTTACCCCAGTGTCGGTTTTGTAGTTAATAAGCCCTTGTAAAAGAGCAACCTCATCGTCCTCACTCCAAACATGTTGGAAGTTAGGTTTTTTCTTCTCTTTCTTCTCTGATACCTTCCCCCTGTTCACAGAATCTCCTTCATTTGTTGTTTCAGAAGAACGATTTTCCACATATCTTTTCACCTCTTGCTTCTCCGTAACTACAGGCTTCATAGGCGCTTCAACCTTCTTTACCGTAACACCATCTTCAACTTTCTTCTCCGTTAACACCAGAATCTTTGGATCCACCTTAAAAGATCCTTCGAAAACCATACAACAATGATCCAAAACCTTATAAAACTTTAGTAAAACTTTCAAAACCTTTGTAAATCATTTTATAACATTTATAAAGAGACACAATGATCATTCCATAACCTACAACAAGATGAGGAAATGATTTTTCGAATACATTGCTTAAACCAAAAACATCTTGTCTCAAGACTATCAAAGCTCTCGAAATACCATAAGGACTTTAGTAATAACAAATTTGAGAACGGGCGTCAACACAAATGGCCAAAACAAGAGAATGGAACTTGGCTTTCTCCGCAAAAGATGCATCTTTCTCTGTGAGTGCTTTGTCAAGGGTCTCCCGGATGAACCGTAAGATAAACAAGACCCACTTAGACCTTTCAACGCCACAATCAACCAAACAAGGCTAATTCTACAGAAATACAACTCCATAACGTAAGCTAAAGCTCAACCCCCTAAACGACTTAACTAGTTGAGGTGAGAAACTATGCCCAAACGAGGGAAGCAAACGACCCTACAATACAATTGCTAAAACTTAAGAAGACAATTGCAGACGATTGCATCTAACAAACACCAAATCAGAACCTACAACTAACAGATCCAAAACGGACAAAAAACCTATTAGAGACCAAAGAGCATGGAACCGAGAGCAGATGAAGAGAAATAAACAGAAAACCGGTACCAACGAAAATTCACATTTCAGATCTGGTGAACACTTTGGATCCTTCTCGCAAGCATCCTGAACACTTAGCTTCGTTGAGACCGGATTCAGAGCCGGCCAGAATCAAACGCCGTTCTCGGATCTAAAAAACTCCATCCACAAATCGGAGTTCTAAACTCGGTCGCTCGATTGAAGATATCTGCTGAGTCTCTCACTATGTAGTAAAGGAAGACACAACTATAAACACTAAACTGAATCCGGTGGTGGCTTCAAAAGCACACCAACCACCGGATTCAACGAGCAAGAGCAAGGGGATCTAGAACTGGAGAAAAATGGTTTTCTTCGTCCTGGAGAGAGGAAAGAGGAAAAAGCGAACTTCTCCTAGAACTGACACTTGTAAATCCCTTTAAACCCCTTAGAACTTTGGTAAATCATTTAATAAAAACTTTTGCAAACTTCTAAAACCATTTAAAAACCCTAGTAAATCCTTAAAAAACCATTTTAAAGTCCTTGTATTGCCTTTGAAAACCTTTGTAAACCCCTTAAACTTTCTTATAAACAATCAATTATGTGAGAACAACCCTTTAAAATGACAAGATTATGTGAGAACAATCAACTATTTACCCGTCAAACTTTCTTATAAACGTTTATGTTGTTTTAAGATATAATAAGTCTTTCAAAAAAAGTTACCGATAATGGTTTATAAACAAATAAAAAATAATTTTTTTTAAATAAATACATAATAAAATAGAAATAAATTAATAGAATTATAAAATATTCTCCGGCGTAGAATTATATTGAAACATCAGCATTTTCACTGAAACAGGTGTTGACAAATCAATTAAAAATATAAAAACATGAAAAAAATATTTATGAAAATATAATAAAATTTAAAATGATATTTATGAGAAATATTAATAAAATATTAAATAATTACAGAATAGTTATAAAAAAATAAACAAATAAATTAGAAATCAAACACAAATCATTACTCATTTTGAGAGATTAAAGCTAGGAAAAGTGTTTAAAATCAATATGTATATATATAATCTGCCACAATATATATTTCACCGAAAATTTTTAATTAAAAACGCTTACGAAAATAAAAATTTGAAATTTAATGATTTTCGGGAGGTTTGGAAAAAAAATTTGAAAGTTGATTGATTATAATTTTGTAATTTGAGTTCAAGAACAGTGCTTTATAAATCCTGACAATTATTTGTTTGCAATACTGAATTTCTTGAGAATATCCCCGAGCCCAGCGTTTTCTCATATTGTTTTTAAACTCAATCTTTATTTTAATTTGCTGTTTTAATATTAAAACCTTGCTTGCTTAGCTTAATTTAATACCGAATATTTATTGGGTAATCTTTGAGTCTCTGTGGATTGGATCCCTAAGTACTACAGTGATCTCTTAATTGAGAGAGTAGCTCAGGGCAAATTTGAGCCGATCAACAAGCTTAGATAAATCAAAAACCTTTTGATCATGAGGTTTTTTTGGGGGTTTACCAAGGCTGCTCTCAAATTTTTCCTTAATGCTTCTGAGCTTTTCCTTTAACTGACTTTTACTAAAGTCAAAACTTATCTGATTTTTCAGAAGAAGATGAACCCTATTTGGTATCATCAGAAAGACTTACTTTAGTGTCAGTTTTGTAGTCAATAAGTCCTTGTAAAATAGCAACCTCATCGTCCTCACTCCAAACACGTTGAAAGTTAGGTTTCTTCTTCTCTTTCTTCTCTGATACCTTGACCCTCTTCACAGAATCTCCTTCATTTGTTGTTTCAGGAGAACGTTTTTCCACAGATCTGTTCACCTCTTGCTTCTCCGTAACAACAAGCTTCATAGGCGCTTCAACCTTCTTCACCGTAACACCAGCTTCAACCTTCTTCTCCGTTAACACCAGAATATTTGGATCCACCTTAAAAAATCCTTCAAAAACCCTTGTAAATCTTTTAAAAGTCATTGAAAACCTTTCAAAACTTTAGTATGACTTTCAAAATCTTTGTAAATCATCTATACTATTAAAGTTAAAGCGGTTTAACCCTGTAGCCAAACAAAATCATTAAATTTTCGTATTAATACTATAGTATAAGAAATCATAAAATTGTTGCCAAACAACTCAAAATACGGATAAACGCGCGGATCTTTTATACCCGCTAACCAAACCCGGAAATTTTATGTTCTAATCTGAGCCGTTTGTTTATAAGTGGTAGCTGTTAATCCTCACCGTTTAATCATTCCACCGAGAATCATAACTTTTAATCTCGCTCGTTCCTTTTTAAAGCAAGCTTTTAATCCGTACAGTTTAATTTAATGACAAACCATAGAATAATTAGGGAACGTATATTTGTTGGGCCTTAACAAAGCCACAAAATCATGTCTTTACAAATTTGTTTTTCCCGCATCATTGTTTTTCAAATTTGTTAGGTTCCGTAATTTTTGTTTCAAAATATTTAATTGGTCAAGGTCTGAAAATAATCTTCAATCAAATCTTAGTCGTTATTATTATATTCCAAATTTGAAGGTAGCTGCCGTTTAAATAAAGTTTGCATTACCCCAGTCGACAATATTTTCCTAAACCCTACCAAGTTCTCCCTATGAAGAAGAGAAAAGAATTTGCCGATGAAAATCTTTCAAATAACATTTCTAAACAACCCAAAAATAGGAAGTTGTCTACAAATCTTTCTGGTAATGAGGATATAATTCCTAGCCCTTTGTGCTCAAACATAACCACTTCCGGAGGCAATGTGAAACCTGATTCTCGCAGAGTTCTAAATGATATTACTAATCGTCAATCTTTGGTTAGCTCTTCTCATCCTAGAACATGTATCAAGTGTATTTAGAAACGTATAACGATTCAAGTATGTTGATATATTTTCGTAACATATTAACCCTTATTTTGATGTCAATAGATCTTGGTTATAAGACACCAAGTCCTACCTTCCTTAATAACCACCTTCAAAGAAAGGATCATGAAAACACAACTATTCGAAGAAAAGGATGTGGAGAAACATTACGGTCGCCAAGGCCATTATGTTCAAACTCACCCAATTCCGTTGTCACCGTTAAGTCAGTATTTGGAAGAGTTCTGAATGATATTACCAATCCTCATCATTCTGTTGTCTCTCCTCCTTCTAATACAAGTGTTAATTACAAAGGTATTTTATTACTGTTATTAAGTAATTTTAATTTATATTCATTTATTGAAACTACTATACATATTTCTCTGTCAAATAGGTATTGATTATCAAACACCAACTTCCTCCATACCTATTGACCACAACTATATTAAGGAGAAGGAAAACGTTCCTATTTTAACTAATGGTGAATAATCACTCATTTTAAGCATCTCATACTGTTTCAATAATGTAATCATATATAATTCTTAATGTGTTTTTGTAACCATTTACAGAATTTGTTACAACAGTTGATCACGGATTATCTGGTCATGTTAAATCTTTATCCCGTTCCTTTACAAGACTAAGACATATAAAAAAATTAGCAAGACAAATCCACATCAGCAGCAGTACTTTTAAACTAGCCTTGATTCTTTTTTATTATGTACATTATATGTTGTTCAAAATATTTTGTAGATCAACTTCATGAAAATTACTACTCTCCTACATCCGACCAAATATCATCAGATATTACTAATATTACAAATAGTACTATACATATCCTTGAGGAGGCTCCATTTTGTCCACCTAGCGCAAATACATTAACGGTTGATGTTTTCTACAGGTATTTCACACTTTCTCGGCTGATTTTATTTACTATTATAGTATAGATTATTGGCCTCATATTCGCTTCTGTTAATTTAATCTGACATCTTTATTTTTAAATCTTAAACACAGAGAAAGTCAACATAGTGTCATCAAAAACAATTTGCAAGAGGAGGAACATTGCCAGTGTTCTAAAAATGTGTAACTTAGATGTTCTTGACATAAATGAAAATTCTATTTACGACTCAGATAGCGGTAATATATTAGTATACCAATACGAAGGACATTTTATTTTGATTAATTCAAAATTTATAACCCCTGACATCTAATTGTTATTTGCAGATAAATCAGAAGAATATGATGATCAAGTGTTTCATTGTAGTAGTGAAGAAGAAAACAATTTATCTAAGGATGAAGAAAACTCTGGTGATGAGGAAACGAACACATTATCTACTTCACAAATGGCTTATTTGCATGATTCAAACCAACGTCGCAATTATTCTCCTAATTTAGGAGTAAATCCTACGATAATTACAAAAAAAAAAGTCCATCTATCAAGAACATAAGTGATTTGTGGGCAGGTATTTAAACTTAAGTATTTTGAAACGTGTAAATTTTTTGATAATGCTTGCAAGAAGTATTTAACTTTGACCTTTCTGATATTTGCAGGGTATCAAGATGATGATGATCCAATTTATAGTTGTTCTCATTGCGGTGCAATGTTTTGGTATGGTGAGAGGATTAACAGGAGATACCGAACAAACAATCCTATTTTTACTGCATGTTGTATGCAAGGTCAGATCGTATTACCACCTCTTAAAGAGTCACCAGAAGAGATATGGGATCTCTTTACAAATGATGACCCGGAGTCACGTCATTTTCAAGAAAACAGCAGACCTCACAACATATTGTTCTCTTTCACATCGTTAGGTGGAAAGGTTGACCGTTCCGTGAAGAAAGGTCAAGGTCCTTCCATGTTTGCTTTACAGGGTGAAAATTACCACCTGATGGGAGCTTTGAAGCCTAAACCTGGTGCTAAACCAAAATTCCAACAGCTTTACATAGTTGACATTCAAAATGAAGTGGAGAACAAATTGAATGTTATGAGGTAATTTAATTCAATCCTAATATGTTTATGTTGACACAGTCTTTTTCGCCCCTAATGTTCTTAAACCTAATTAATATTTTAAAATACAAAGGACTCAAATAATGGACAGGATTATCACAATGTGAATAAGAAATTCCGCCAAGATCTCATAAAACGCATAATCAAATTGTTTGACAAATACAACCCTCATGTACAAGCTTTTAGAATGGCAAGAAACCGTTTTCAGATGGAAAAAGAAGAGTCCACTTTTCACATGCGTATTGTTTCTAATCGAAAGACACATGGTACATTATACAACATCCCTACTGTATCTGAAATAGCCGCCTTGATACCTGGTGATTTTGATGCAATAACGGATAAGCGTGATATTGTTCTACAAAAAAAGTAATGGTAAGTTGAAAAGGATACATGAATGTCATGTAGCATATATAGCTTTGCAGTATCCTTTGCTTTTTTCAAGAGGAGAAGATGGCTTCAGACTTGGACTTAAAAAAACATAAAAAGGGTTCAAAAGCAAAAAAGCAAAAGGATATGAGTATGCGTCAATGGTTTGCATGCAGGCTTCAAGAAAGGAAAGAGGAGAAGCATGTTCTTCTGAGATCAAAACGGTTGCTACAACAGTTTGTTGTCGATGCATATACAATGATCGAAACAAACAGGCTTAGATTTTTGAGAAAAAATCAGAAAAATTTGCGAAGAACAAATAAAGCAGATTTTAGGAAAGCATCTAATGCTGGAGATGAAAGCCTTTAGGGAAACTCCATTATACTTCCCACGTCTTTTGTCGGTGGTCCGCGTTATACGCGCCAAAGCTACCTTGATGCAATGACAACCTGTAAGAAATTCGGTTTTACTAATCTTTTTATAACATTCACATGTAATCCTAAATGGCCAGAAATCACTAGATTTGTAAAAGCAAGGAAGTTAAAGCCTGAAGATAGACCTGACGTTATTTGTAAGATTTTCAAGATCAAACTTGAAAATCTACTTGATGACATTAGTCAAAGGAATCATTTCGGGAAAACAATATCAGGTCATTATTTTAGTCCTACAACACGTTAAATATTTTATATTTTCTTTGTTTGTATCTATATGAAATTACTTATGCTAATATCTAACGTGTCTTTGTTTCAGCGATGTATACAGTTGAGTTTCAAAAAGGGGCCTTCCACATGCTCATATTATTGTCTGGATGGATCCAAAAAGTAAGTTCCCAACCGCTGATGAAATTGATAAGATTATTTGTGCTGAAATCCCTGATAAGGATACAGATCCAGAACTATACAATATCATATCAAACTGTATGATTCATGGTCCATGTGGGAGTGTAAATCCGTTTTCTCCATGCATGGAAGAGGGTTCATGTACCAAAATTTTCCCTCAGCCGTTTGAAAAGACAACAAAATTGACAAAGAAGGTTACCCGGTTTATAGAAGAAGAAACGATGGGCGTTTTATCGATAAGAAGGGTTTTAAATGTTATAATAGATACGTGGTGCCTTACAATCGTCACCTGTCGTTAAAATATCATGCTCATATTAACGTCGAGTGGTGCAACCAAACTGGCTCTGTCAAATACTTATTTAAGTATGTCCACAAAGGTCCTCATAGAATAACTGTTGTTGTATCTCCTGTTGCAAAAGAAGTTGTTAAAGATACTCAGAATAAATCTTCAAATGAAACAACTCCGGCTCAAAAGATCAAAATTCTAGATTTCTTCGACTGCATGTATATTATTATCTTCACCTTAAATCATCATTATTCATTAAATATATTGAACTTTAATAGCTTGCTTTTAAATAAACCTAACAGAAGAAATACTGAGAATTATCTATTCAACCTATTTCAGATATGTATTTGCATGTGAAGCTATGTGGAGGATTTATAAATATAACATCCATTATAGACAAACTACAGTTGTGCCACTTACTTTCCACGAAGAAGGAAAGCAGCCTATTTATTTCCAAGATAATGAATCTCCTCACGATGTACTGGATCGCGACACTCTTGACGAGTCTCAGTTTCTTGCTCTATTTCAACTGAATCAGCATAATACCGAAGCTCAGCAACTGTTATATGAATAAATACCAAGTAAGTTCATTTGGGATTCAAAAAACAAAATCTTTCACCGAAGGAAGACCAAAGCGTTTGCAATAGGGAGAATCAATTACGTACCTCCAGTTATAGATGATGCTTATCATTTGAGGATTCTACTTAACTTTGTTAGAGGTCCTAGAAGTTTTGACCATATTAAAACTGTAGATGGAGTCGTATACGAAACATACAGGGAAGCTTGCTATGCTCGGGGGTTGTTGGATGATGACAATGAATATATTGAAGGCCTCAAAGAAGCGCATTTTATGTGTTCTCCAAATTTGTTCGGAAAATGTTTGTTTTTATGTTACTTACTGCTGTATTGAGTACCCCTCATATTGTATGGGAAGCTACATGGGAGTTGTTATCTGAAGATATCTTAAGGAGGAAACGAGTTGAATTAAAACAACCATGTTAGTTAGTAATCTATTAAATAAATGTCACGATTAAATAATGATTACTAATATTTTATTTTGTTACTCTGTCAATTTCACAGAACTTATTCTCACGGGTGATGAAAGGAAAATATACTGTCTGACAGAAATAAACAAGCATTTGAAAAGGAATGGCACTTCTCTTAAAGCTTTTAAGATGTTACCACAGCTACCTACTGATGATCTACCATTCTTGAACCAGTTAATAGCAGATGAAAGAAGATTGTGCAATCAAGATGGTCTAAAGGAAAAACATGACAAATGGGTTAAAATGCTAACAGAAGAGCAGAAGAAGGTATATGATGAGATAATAGATGATATGCTAAACGATAGAGGTGGCGTGTTTTTCTTATACGGTTTTGGAGGAACTGACAAAACATTCCTTTGTAAAGTCTTATCGGCAGCTATAAGGTCAAAAGGAGACATTGTGTTAAACATAGCATCTAGCGGTGTAGCATCACTTCTGTTAGAAGGTGGAAGAACTGCTCATTCGAGGTTTGGTATTCCTATACATGTCCATGAAACTTCAATGTGCACCATGTCAAGGTCGTCTGATCTGGGTGAATTAATCCAATTAGCGAAGTTGATCATTTATGATGAAGCTCCGATGATGAGTAAATACTGTTTTGAAATATTGGATAGAAGTCTTCAAGATATAATACAAGGTGCAGAAGA